GTTGCTGATGCTGTTGCTGTTGCTGTTGTTATTGTTGTTGTTGCTGTTGTTGCTGTTGCTGTTGCTGTTGCTGTTGCTGTTGGTGTTGGTGTTGGTGTTGTTGTTGTTGTTGTTGTTGTTGTTGTTGTTTCGGTGGTGGTTGTGGTTGTGGCGGTTGTTGTAGCGGTGGTTCTGATTGTTGCTGTTGTGGTTGCTGTTGTTGGCGCGGCTCTTCTTGTTGTTACCTTGTGGTGATGGTACTGTTGCTGCTTGTGCTGCTTTAGCGGCTTCAAGACGATAAGACGAAATTACACTTATTTCAGTCGAGCTACTTAGCGTGATTATATATATGTATATATCACTGCTACATGTTTTCTGTCTCTTCTTCAACAATGTATGGTGAGATTATTCTTCTGATGCTCCTCAAAAGTGCAGCTCCCCAAATCCTGAAGCACGTCGTAAGTAACCTATTAGGGCTTGCTGAGGCCCGAAACTCCTCAACAACGAAACAAACTACCTAAAATGCCTATCGGCCTTTGCTGGGGCTTGCCGGTGCCTGCTGGGCACTGATGTTTCAGTTACTTTTCTACTGGGAAACTCTGTTCGGCATACCCCTTCCCTAACATCACTTCCCAAAGTTCGAAACCCTCAGAACTACAACACGAAGTCCAAAAACCGTAAACTCGAAGCCCCAAACTCCTTACTAACCGCCGAAAGTCCTCTAGTTTACACAACCACACACCAGGCCCCACCTCAATATAGGGAGTATGAATAATTACTAATGATATCCCGGACAGCCCCCTTTGCGTCCCCATATTAGTAACTGACTACACACCCGAAATAATCTTGTAAGGCCCTTATATTAAGCTCGGCCCCTGGCAGCTCCAGCAGATTCGGACGTCTGCAGGGCTTCTAGCACCACACGTCCGGCAGCCCCAGACCTAGTTGCAGTTGATCGTCAGTACTATTGAAGCCTGACGACTGCATTTGCCACATGTATTTTTTTGCTGCTGGTTCTTTTTTGTGTTTTTGTTGCGGGGCTCTCTTTCGACCGCCTAAGCTTGCGGAATACTTGGGTCAGAAAGAGCATGCAAAACCCCGGAAACTCTTCCAGCCGCGGTTGCGTGTTTAGGGCCTGCAACATCGGACAATGATCGGGTGTAGAGCTTCACAGCTGAAAATCAAATCGGTGAGGGAGGATTTTCGCGAAACAATCAGCTTGTGCAGGGCCCCCCCCTCCAGACCCGCAGAACTGTATTGGCCCCGAAAGATGCGCTATGCTGCGTGCAGGTCGGCCCAGGCGTGTCCACTTAGCAGGAAGAGAAGGCCGTTAACCGAGCAAGTCGCAGGCCCTCGAAATTCTCCGTGCAAGCTTCACGCGGACTCGGCCAGCTGCTCCCTTTGGTAGTTGCTGTCCCCAAACCTGCAGCGACTAGGTGACTAGGGCCAGGGCCCGCTGTGAGATTCGGGTGCGGGTTTTTGCGACTAGAGCACAGCAGTGGCTATGGCTGTCATCACCGCATGCCCCACCTCCGCCACCGACAGAAACTTCCTGGGCAGAATGGCCCGTACTTGTCTTCGGCTGTCGAAAGTGAAAACAGCACTGGGAATCTCGTTGCCTTCTCTCTCACAAGACCCGGCTGACAAGTCTGATGTAGATTTCAAACCCGGAGTAAACAACTGTCGTCAATCTGGTACTAACAGAAGCTAAGGTCTCAACGACTCCATCCGCATCTGCCGCAGGTGGCCACCAAGCCTCCACTCCCGCTCGACCAGCTTTCCCGCCTCAGCAGGTGCCAAAGCCCTAAACCCAGAAGAGCTTATGTAGGCGCTTACAGTAGCCCGTGTAAGGAGGCGTGAGACGATGCTCCTGAGGCCAGCTGCCCTCCGACGCCCGAAGAGCACCACGCCTTCAGTGGGATCGATGCCTCAGAAAAAACAACCAAGCTGAGCCAAATCTGCAGACATCACCCCGAGATAACACTCGGTCACCGGCTGAAGAGGCCTTCAGGCGCGAAAAGGCTCGGATCTCTGGCCTTAGCCGTCTCAGACAAAGCTGTGGCCAGCCATGCCTGTATCTGTGTGTAAGGGGGGTGCTATGGCGATTTCCAGTCTGTACAAACATAGCCACTGATGGTGATGACTGGAAAGAACCACGACCGGGAAGTCCAAAGATATTGCGACATCACGCTTCGTATATCACAGTTTAGTCAGTTAAGCCTGACGTGGATATGCATATGACACATCTGCTGCCAGCTGGAAGCCGCGAATCAACAAAGCTCGGGGCAACGAGGTGGTGCTCACCATCCAAGATGATCTGCATCTCCTCATGCAAGGCTCGGCTTTGTGGAAGTTGACTTCTTGGCGCCTGATGCGTCATACAGGCCCAAAGGGCTCTGAGACCATGATCATGCTAGATGGTCGGCAAAGAAGCTCATGGGGAAAGGTTTTGTGGCATGTTATAAAGTCCTCGGATATTCCTGGAAGAGCCATCTCAACAGAAGCCATATCCTGTGGCCCGTGGCCCCAAGCTTCCCCAAAACTCCTGCCGCTTCTCCAAATCGACGCAGATCGTGGCCACATGCCACGTCGATGGCTGCACCTCGGCATGTCAGGATTTATGCATGAGGCTTGCATCTGCGGGAGTGCCGGAGGCTCAGTTCCCAGGGCAGTGGCCACGTTTCCGCAGGTGTTGGAGAACTGCTCATCCTTGCTTGCAGACCGCTAAACCAGCTGGATTCGAACAAACGTCTGCGTACTGCTGTGAGTATTATTGGAGATTCTGTCATGTGTATACAGTAATGTACTAAGATCTACTGCAGCAGTATACGAGGCTGTACCGCAATATAATATACCATAATATACCGTACTCTACTACAGTTTACTATATAATCTACAAGACGACAAAAAAACTACCACAATACACTTCAGTATACTGTAAACACATTATAGTCTACCATATGTAACATCACAAGGACCATGAAATGCGATTTTTGTTGTCTGCTTTTGCGGCTGTTTTTGTCGCTCCCATCCTCGCCTCCTCGGCGTTGGAGTCCGAGTCGGAGTCCGACTCTTCACCTGCACTGCACATGGTCTTTGATAGTAAGATCTAGTGTACAGTAGTATATTCTAGTCACAGTTGTATAGTGTATATATATATATATTATAACTATGTGCTATGGTAGATTTTCACATCTTCTGGTATACTGGGTATACTGCAGTATATCATGGCACATTTTCGCACATTCCAGTGCGCAGTGCACCTCCCAAACCGCCAAACCGCCCATTGTCGGCTTTCCGTCGGCGCCTCCCATCCACTTCGACGGCGGCTCTAAGCGGACACCTGCAGTGAGGGGGGAACCAGGAAGCAAGGTTTGGTCAAGTCTTCTGTGAGGGGATGCCATGACTTAGCTTTGACCCTCAACCATGAACTTATCTTGACCTCCCTGAACCCCCGGAAAGCTTCCGGGGCGCCCACGCGTTCCGCTCCAGCCCGTGATTGCCAGCTTGACCTCCTCGTCGTAGGGCAGCTCCAAGGTCTTCACCTGCAGAGTTTTTACATTGGGGTTTATATATATATATATGATATGATATGATATGATATNNATATATATATATCATATTTTACTAAGGCTTTAGAACTTTGAGGACCTGCAATTACACTGGCCAACCAGGGGAACCACATTCCAAGTGACAGCTCGAAATCTGCGGGCTTGGGACAGGGATTCAGTGCTGCAGTCACAAAGCTTGAGTTGTTGCAGAAGGGTTGGTGGTCTGTTTCGAATTTGCTTGAGTGGGGCTTGTCATCCCGTCATCCCACGCAAGAACTTGACGGTGCCTTGGAAGCTGACGTTTCAAGCAAAGCACGGCATCTAGCCCAAACGGCCTGATCGCAGCTACAATCCTGAATCCTGAGACCTCATAGTCAGAGTCTTGGCAAACTCAGCAGAAGCCAGTTGCAGAAGCTACAACTTACAACCAGTCCTTTCGCCTCCTGCAGGTTGTCCTTCTTGCTCCCCACGTGGAAGGACACCTCTTCGGATCCGGCTCAACAAAAATGACAACGCAACGCAGAAAGCTCTGTCCGCTACGTTGGTCGGGGCTGCTCTCCTGTTCTGTTTTCGATATGTAAAACTCATCCGGCAATCATGGTAAGACTTTGGGGCATGCTCTGCTACTGGGGCTCGTACAAGAACAGTATTGCTAAGTCTTTAAGTTCCTCAGGTGGGCTCTTGCGGACCCCTGGTCGATTCTCCCATGCTGAGACGCCCCCCCCACTACCTACCTACCTACCTACCT